TAGTCGACCACGGTTCACGTCCTGGACCTGGTGGCTTAAAACTCACGCCGGGCGCGTGTGCGTGCGTGCCCAAGATCCCGAGAGAAGAGTGGAGGAGAGGGGATTGCGGCGTGATCATCACCCCTGGGGGGTGATTTCTCACTTTCTGTCTCTATGTCTCTCTCTGTCTGTCTGGCATTATAGAATTTGTCTGGAACCATAAAAGACCTCGTATTGCAAAAGCAATCCTGCGTAAGAAGAATGGAGTAGGAGGCATATCACTCCCTGATCCCAAGATATACTATAAAGCTGTGGTCATCAAAACAGCATGGTATTGGCATAAAAACAGACATGTGGACCAATGGAAGAGAATAGAGACCCCAGAAATAACTCCCAAAGCTTATAGCCAACTGATCTTTGACAAAGGATATCAGTCAATCCATTGGGAAAAGGAAAACCTCTTTAGTAAATGGTGCTGGAAAAACTGGGTATCCACCTGCAGAAAGATGAAACTGAACCCCCATCTTTCACCATTAACAACAGTCAACTCAAAATGGATCAAAGATCTGAACCTAAGACCTCAGACAATAAAACTACTTGTGGAAAATGCTGGGGAAACTCTGGGAGACATTGGAGTAGGCAAAGACTTCTTAAATAAGACTCCCAAAGCACAGGCAATAATCCCTAAAATAGACAAGTGGGACTATATTAGACTAAGAAGTTTCTGCACAGCAAAGGACACAGTAACAAGTGTGAACCGACAACCCTCAGAATGGGAAAATATTTTTGTTAAATATGCCTCAGACAAGGGACTGATAACGAGAATACATAGGGAACTCAAGTGCCTTATGCGAAAAAAAATGATTAACCCGATTAAAAGATGGGAAAGTGAGCTGAACAAAAGTCTCTCTAAGGAAGACATACGAACAGCCAAAAAGCATATGAGGAAATGCTCAACATCCCTCATCATAAGGGAGATGCAGATAAAAACCACAATGAGATACCACCTAACCCCTGTCAGAATGGCAAAGATTAAGAATATAAAAAGTGATAAGTGTTGGCGGGGATGTGGTGAAAAGGGAACCCTCCTACACTGTTGGTGGGAATGTAAACTAGTTCAACCACTGTGGAGAACAATATGGAGGTTCCTCAAAGATCTACAAATAGAACTACCATTTGATCCAGCAATCCCACTTCTGGGTATTTACCCAAAAGACAGGAGAACGCTCAGTCAGAAAAGTGCTTGCACATCCATGTTTATTGCAGCATTATTCACAATTGCCAAGACATGGAACCAACCTAAATGTCCACAAACTGATGAATGGATTGGAAAAGTGTGGTATATATACTCTATGGAATACTACTCAGCCATGAAAAATAACAAGACCCTGGAATTTGATAGAAAGTGGTCAGATATGGAGGATCTATTGCTGAGTGAAGTAAGCCAGGCTCTGAAAGAAAGATATTGTATGTATCCACTCAATATATACCGACTATCCGCACTCTATGATAGAGAGCAAAACATTGGAGGACATAAAAGCAGTGAAGGTACTTAATGAGAATAGGACAGTGTGGAATGGGGGAATTGAAGAGAAGAGAATAGAGAAAGATAGCAATTGAACAATAGAGAGGCAGGACATAAGTGAGAAACAGATATGGCTTATTAACTGTTGATGATGACATGTATAGTATTCTCAACTGGATTGGTCTGAGAAGTATTTCATGATGGACAAAGTATTTTTACAAGCAAAATGAGAAATAGTGATTGACTGTTTTAAATAATAATAATAATAATAATGATTGGGGAAAACAGAAAAGATATTGAATGTTGAAGCGGGGAGATTAATGTCTTTGTACTGACTGACTTGCATGGCATTCCATTTTGAAAAAACAATGTAATACACTGTAAAGTTATATATAATCCAATATAATATAAAGAAGATTATGATGATAATAAAGAAAAAAAGAAAAAAGAAAAAAAAAGAAAAGGAAAAAAAAAAACTCTACCCACTAGGTGGCAGTCAAATGCTCAAAACATCCGTGTAGGTCTCCTGAATATCTTTCTGACTTAGGAAAAAATTTCCTAAAATGTTTGAATGGAGATTTCCTTTAAGACTGCTTCATATCATGAGATAAACCTCTTAGACAATTCTGAATGGTTTTTAGCTTCCTAGAGACACTTTTCAGGACAGGGAGAGCAAGTGTCTCAACTCTTGGGTGGAGATACCACAGTATGGATATTTAAAATTTGAAAACTAAAAAGGTTTTGGCTAAAAATAAAACATACTCAAGTTTTCTTCTAAGGCACATGCTAGGCCTTTAGTGCAATAATGATCATGCACTAGGGACAAGCGGTTGGCTTAATGGCTATGTCACAGGACTCCCATGTAGTGAACTGTGGTTTGAGTCCCAGACCTGACAGCATAAACTCACACCAGGCATGTATGCATGTGTGCCCAAGATCCCAAGAGGAGAATGGAGGAGAAGAGATTGTGGCACAGCCATTCCCCCCAGGGAGTGATTTCTCACATTCTGTCTCTCTGACTGTTCTGGTCAATACACGTGCCCTACGGCAAAAACCTCTTAAAAATTATACACTAATGAATCATGATTTAGTCTCTCAGAAAAGTTTGATAGTATGGAAAAATATGTTGGGATAAAATGTGTTTTGGCAGATACTTCCCCTATCACTCTCATCTTGGGCTTTTTTTAGAAGCTTTCAAAGCCTTTTCAAAAGTGAACAAATTTGAAAGAAGGGGAGTCTCAGAAGATGGTGGAGGTAAAGAGAAAATGACAGACATACAATAGTTACTGTGACAATAGTCACACTTTCAAGGAACACTCAATTTGTTCTGGGAACATTCTTCTAATACTAAGGTGTCGGTATTTTTTTTCTACTTTAATATACATGGGCCATAATTGTATTAAATTGTTACTGGAATAACATTGTTCATTATTTTGCCACTATATGTAGCACGACAGATTATATATTTTATATACTGGTGTATTTATTATTTTTCATTTATTTGGGTGAAATATATACTCCATGAAATTTATCATCTTTCCTCTAAAGGCTCTAGGAACATCACCACCAGTCATGTTCATGACTCCTGTCATCTTGTAAAACTGAACAATCTATAATCATTAATATATAATAATGTTAAATCTTTCAAGTTCTCCCACCTAAGTTAGCCTCTAGCAACCACTACTTTTTGCACTTATTATTACTACTCTGAACAACCCATAACTATTTTTATTGTGGAAGAAAGTCCCCCCAAATTTGAAGCCTATTTGAAGAAATTGACTCAATGACACTGGTTAAACTGGGATAAGAAAAGCTTTACTTTGGACCATCATGGTAAGCATATGGTCCATTGAAAAGGGAGTTTGCAGTGGGGAAGAGAGAATTGGACTCAACTTCAAAACGTGTGAACAGTGGAAATCAACAACTGAGGAGTCGTGTGGGGATCATCAGATAGAAAATTACTAAGGGAACATTAGATAAATGAGGGATTATGGATAAACTGAAATAACAGGATTCTTACTGAACACAGACAGGGTGATCAGACAGCACCATAGGGGGACTGAAAGATAAGAAACCTAATCACTTATTTTAAATGGCATGATATTTAGAGTTGGGCTTCTTGGAAACTACCTTAACAGGGTTCTTTGCTAAAAGAGATTTTACAAGGACGTACACAGAGGAAAGTAAAATACTGAGAGGCCTGTCTAAAGTTTGATCAAGTCAAAAGTATGACACATTTTAACCACATCTAAGTATATGCAATTTATTACTGTGCAGTATATTCACATTACTATGCAACCAATCCAGTCAGTGTTACAAGATAACTATGGTTTGGTCTAGTTTACCTGGGCCATCTGATGATGTCGGGCAAACCAAAAGCAGCCTAATACCAATTCCCCTTGGATTACTTTCTATAACAATGGTTGTTCTGCTTTAGAATCTCTTGGCTAATGCTGGCCACAAAGGCTATGATCAACATCAAAAGAGGATCTTGGAAATATTATAACCACCCATGACTATGCTGTCCCCCAACACACCCACACACTACACATGCTTCCTGTCAAGCCTAGATGGAATCCATTCTAAAAGTGAACTTGTACATTTCACCAGAGGCACTCGTGAAGTGAGCTGTCAGTGCATAGGAGTAGTTCCCAAGTGGTGAAAAACCTTAGAATTTTTGTTTGTTTGTTTTGTTTTATTTTATTAGGCCTTTACTGTACATTTTATTTCTTTAATTTTTTAAAATTGTAAACATTTAATTACTACACATCACTTAGCTTGTAAGTTGAATTTACCCAAAATGAATATACTTCCCACCAGTGCAGGTGAGGATGCAAACACATTATCATCAGTATATCATAACCCATTTTTGTATGCCATAAATGTCTTGACTATTTTCCTCCCTAATTTCTCTTCTTACACTCTCTCCCTTCTCTCACCCTTTTCCCACATTGACTCCAATATTTATAACCATTTCCAATGTTTCTATGTACTCTAATCTTTCAGTTTTCACTGTGTCTTGAAACACTTTTTCTGTTGTCTTGCATACCATGGCCAGAACTGGAAGCTAAACAAATTTTTATACTCATTTTTATTTCTGCCCAAATCAGCAATTGTATTTTCTTGCATCTTTAACCAACAAACATGGGTCTTAGAAATAAATTTTTGCTGGGACCAGCAGGTGGCGTAATGGTTAAACAACAGGACTATAGTATATTCCACTGTAGTTGAAGTCCCAGACCAAGTGACTTAAAACTCACGCCAGGTGTGTGTGCATGTGTGCCCAAGATCCTTAGAGGAGAGTGGAGAAAGTATTGTGGTGTCACCATCCTCCCAGGGGATGGTTTGATTTCTGTCTCTGTCTCTCCAGAGAGGATGCACAACCTATATCAAAAATCTCTCAAAAAAATCAATTTGCCAAATAAGTATTTTGCTTCTGTAGTTGGAAAATCATAGATCTTAGTCTTCAACCTTCTGAAATGTTCCCCTTTTGTACTCGTAGATATCATTCCCAAATTTATTTTCTGATGCCTTAATTTTGAGTACTGTGCTTGCTGAATCAAAGCTGAATTTGAAAAACATTCAACATTGTTACATTAAGAGATCAATTCATATTCTGAATAATGACTCAAGGATTTATAGCACAGTTTACATTACTGAGGATTTTCTCCCACTTCAGTTTACTAATGTATAGTGAGTTTTGAACTCTAGTGAAAAGATTCCTTCATTTTTCACATTTATTAAATTTCTGATCTAAGAGTTCTCAGATACACAGTAAATTGTGACCTTTACAGGAAGTTTTACTACACTTTTCACACTTACAGAGTTTCTCTTCTTTGTTGGTGTTCTAATGTAGAGTATGGAATGTCTACTCGGAAAACATTTTGTACACCATCCCCATTTATAGGACTTACTCTTGCATTCTCTGATATACAGTAAAGGTTGACTTGTATTAGATGGAAGATGTCCTATTGGTACATTGACGTTCACAGGGTTTTTCTTTTGTGAATTTTCTGATGTACACTGAGGGCTGACTTACAAATGAAAGATTTTCTATAATCCCTACATTCATGAAGTTTCTCCCCAGTGTGAGTTTTCAGATGCTTACTAAAATATAGTTTCCAAAAGAAAAATTTCCTATATTATTGCTATTAATAAGGTTTCACTTCTATTTGAGTCCTCTGATGTAAAATGAGCCCTTCTTTCCAGTAAAATGTTCCCTATACTATTGTCATAGTGTTTCTCTCCAGTGTGAGTTCTTTGATACACATTGAGTGCTGACTTCCAGATGTTTTACCAAAACTTTCATATTCGTAGGGGATATCCTGTGTGAGTTTTCCACTGATTGATGAGTTGTGACTTCCAGGAGTATGTTTTTCCACACTGTTTACATTTATAGGGATGCTTTCCTGAGTTAGTTCTCTGATGTATAGTGAAGTATTCCTTGCTGGAGAATGTTTTCCTACATTGTTTGGATTCATCTGGTTTCTTTCCTAAGTGAGTTTTCCAATATATAAAAAGTGCTGACTTGTGGTAGTTTTTTACATTGTTGACATACATAGTGCTTCTCTCCTGTGAGTTTTCTTATGTTAAAGGAGGTATCCTTTGCTGGAGAATGTTTCCCCACATCATTCGCATTCATCGGATTACTCTCCTGTATGAGTTCTCTGATGTGCAGTGAACTGTGACTTCCATGAGAAAGTTTTCCCATACTGTTGACATTCATGGGATTAATCTGCTGTATGAGTTCTCTGATGCAAAGTCAGGTGTGATTTTTGGGAAAACATTTTCTTACATTGTTCACATTGATAAGGCTTGTCTCCTGTGAGACTTTTCTTATGTACCATGAAGTGTCCCTTGCTGGAGAATGCTTTACCACATCATTTGCATTCATAGGGTCTCTCTTGTGTGAGTTCTCCTATGCAGTGAAGTGTGAGGTGCAGGAGAACATTTTCCTACACTTTTCACATTCATAGTTTCTCTCCTGTGAGAGTTCTCTTATGTGCAGTGAGGCGTACTTTGCTAGAGAATGCTTTCCCACAGTGTTCACATTCATATGGTTTCTCTCTGTGTATTCTCCTATGCAGAGTGAAGTCTGACTTGCAGGAGAACGTTTTCCTACAGTGTTCACATTCATAAGGTTTCTCTCCTATGTGACTTCTCCAGTGCTGAGTGAGAGCTGACTTATGGGAGAACATTTTCCTACATTGTTCACATTCATAGGGTTTCTCTCCTGTGTGAATTCTCCTATGCCTAGTGAGATGTGACTTCCGGGAGAACATTTTTCTACACTGCTCACATTTATGGGGTTTCTCTCCTGTGTGAGTTCTCTTATGTACAGTGAGGTATCCTTTGCTGGAGAATGCTTTCCTACACTGTTCACATTCATATGGTTTCTCTCCTGTGTGTGTTCTCCTATGAAGGGTCAACTGTGACCTACAAGAGAAAGTTTTCCTACAATGTTCACATTCATATGGTTTCTCTCCTGTGTGTGTTCTCCTATGAAGGGTCAACTGTGACCTACAAGAGAAAGTTTTCCTACAATGTTCACATTCATATGGTTTCTCTCCTGTGTGTGTTCTCCTATGAAGGGTCAACTGTGACCTACAAGAGAAAGTTTTCCTACAATGTTCACATTCATATGGTTTCTCTCCTGTGTGAGTTCTCCAATGCTCAGTGAGGTGTGACTTCTGGTAGAACATTTTCCTACATTGCTCACATTCATAGGGTTTCTCTCCTGTGTGTTTTTTCCAATGTTTATGCAAACCTGATTTGAACCTGAAAGATTTTCCACATTCTTCACATTCATAGGATTTCTCTCCAGTGTGAGTTGTCTGGTGCACAGTGAAGTGTGACTTCTTGTAGACCATTTTTCCACATCGTTTCTTTTCATAGGGTTTCTCTCCTGTGTGACTCCTCTGATGTACAGTGAGGTCTGAATTCTGGGAAAACATTTTCTTACGTTGTTTACATTCATAGGGTTTCTCTCCTGTATAAGTTTTCAGTTGGTCAGTAAAGGGTGTGTTCAGAGACAATAAATTCCTATATTGTTTTATCTATTCTTTTTCTCTACAATAAAAGTTATCTCATGTATAACAACAGTTGAAAGTGTTCATAATTAGTCCCCATTATAAGGTTTTATTTCTCTGTGATTTCTGAGGTATTCCATAATTTTGGGAACCAGCAATTAGCATAATGGCTATGTCGCTGGACTCCCACATAGTCGACCGCAGTTCACGTCCTGGACCCGGTGGCTTAAAGCCCATGCCGGGCACGTGTGCGTGCGTGCCCATGATCCCGAGGGGAGAATGGAGGAGAAGGGATTGCGGCGTGGCCATCCCCTCTGGGGGGGGTGACTTCTCGCTTTCTGTCTCTCTGTCTCCCTCTGTCTCTCTGGCGAGTGCATGCGCCCTATAGTGAAAAAAAAAACTCAAAAAAAATTAATTAAACAATAAAATAAAAAGGGCTTTTTGATGTTTATTATGTCTAATGGGTGTCTTCCTTGTCTGAATTCTCTGATAAAAAGCTAGATTTTACTTCTGCAATAAGGATTTCTCTTATTCATTACATGGATAGGAATCTTCCACTCTATGTGTAAAATGTACTGTAAAAATGATTTTTAAAACAATTACTCACATTCTCTACATTTATAGTATGCATGTACTGTCTCTTCTGCACAATGAAACAGTTTGGCTTTTTATAAATGCTTTCTTCCACATCTGACCTATATACTGGGCAACAAGAACTGTTCTTACCACAGCCTTTCCCATATTCATTCCATTTACAAGTAGTCTCCCGCATATCAATCATCCTTTGTCAGAAAAAGACAACCATTTTCATAAATTATATCTATGAATTTCTTCTACACTGCTCATGTATATTTCTAATATTGTTACTGATCTATAATAAGAAATATATATATTTTTTAATTCTTAATAAATTATGGTAACAATTTACATTAATATTTTTAAAATATGAATTGTTTTATTTTGCTCCTTTATGTTTCCCTTTCCTTTAACACCTTTAAAAATATTCAAAATATCTACGATCTGTCTTGTAATTTTACGCTGAAACATTTTCATCTGTCATTTGTTTTCCCTGTTCTATTTTTTCTTATAACAGTGGGTACTGTGTAATGTTTCTTTGCTAATGAGAACAGTTTTCTAGATCATCTATTTGCAGAAGCCAAAAGTCTTGTCACTTAAGCAGAAATGCTACTTAGAAAGGATGTGTATATAATAAAAACACATACTAATCACCCTAAACATGTCTTCCCTTAGGACTATTTAAAAAATAATATACTCATTTTTTCATACTCTTATCCCAGTAAAACATTTCTACTTTTTTTAACCTTACCACTACTCACTTTTATTCCCTCTTAATAAAATACAAGCTGTTTAAAAGAATATGCGTTACACTGGTCCCTGACAAGTATGTATTGTCAAACCTGGGAGGCTCTGATTGAGTTGTTCTCCTAATGTCCATGGCTCTCTGTCTTGCTCCAACTTCAAGATGACTGCAGGTTTGGCAATGCAGTGTCCTGTTAATGAAAAGCAGTGTGTACTTTTGCCAAATCATTCATGTAAGCTATTTGAAGAGTAACAACAACTCAGTTTTATCAACTGCAATAAAGGGGCTGATATGGGCATTTTTGTTAAAGAAGAGTGCCAAATATATTAACCACAGAATGAAATCTCACTTATAAATAGCAATAAACATTAAAACACTTTTTCTGTTGTCTTGCATACCATGGCCAGAACTGGAAGCTAAACAAATTTTTATACGCATTTTTATTTCTGCCAAAATCAGCAATTGTATTTTCTTGCATCTTTAACCATCAAACATAGGTCTTAGAAATAAATTTTTGCTGGGACCAGCAGGTGGCGTAATGGTTAAACAACAGGACTATAGTATATTCCACTGTAGTTGAAGTCCCAGACCAAGTGACTTAAAACTCACGCCAGGTGTGTGTGCATGTGTGCCCAAGATCCTTAGAGGAGAGTGGAGAAAGTATTGTGGTGTCACCATCCTCCCAGGGGATGGTTTGATTTCTGTCTCTGTCTCTCCAGAGAGGATGCACAACCTATATCAAAAATCTCTCAAAAAAATCAATTTGCCAAATAAGTATTTTGCTTCTGTAGTTGGAAAATCATAGATCTTAGTCTTCAACCTTCTGAAATGTTCCCCTTTTGTACTCGTAGATATCATTCCCAAATTTATTTTCTGATGCCTTAATTTTGAGTACTGTGCTTGCTGAATCAAAGCTGAATTTGAAAAACATTCAACATTGTTACATTAAGAGATCAATTCATATTCTGAATAATGACTCAAGGATTTATAGCACAGTTTACATTACTGAGGATTTTCTCCCACTTCAGTTTACTAATGTATAGGGAGTTTTGAACTCTAGTGAAAAGATTCCTTCATTTTTCACATTTATTAAATTTCTGATCTAAGAGTTCTCAGATACACAGTAAATTGTGACCTTTACAGGAAGTTTTACTACACTTTTCACACTTACAGAGTTTCTCTTCTTTGTTGGTGTTCTAATGTAGAGTATGGAATGTCTACTCGGAAAACATTTTGTACACCATCCCCATTTATAGGACTTACTCTTGCATTCTCTGATATACAGTAAAGGTTGACTTGTATTAGATGGAAGATGTCCTATTGGTACATTGACGTTCACAGGGTTTTTCTTTTGTGAATTTTCTGATGTACACTGAGGGCTGACTTACAAATGAAAGATTTTCTATAATCCCTACATTCATGAAGTTTCTCCCCAGTGTGAGTTTTCAGATGCTTACTAAAATATAGTTTCCAAAAGAAAAATTTCCTATATTATTGCTATTAATAAGGTTTCACTTCTATTTGAGTCCTCTGATGTAAAATGAGCCCTTCTTTCCAGTAAAATGTTCCCTATACTTACACTGTTGGCATAGTGTTTCTCTCCAGTGTGAGTTCTCTGATACACATTGAGTGCTGACTTCCAGGAGATGTTTTACCAAAATTTTCATATTCATAGGGCATATCCTGTGTGAGTTCTCCAATGATTGGTGAGTTGTAACTTCCAGGAGTATGTTTTTCACATTGTTTACATTCATAGGGATGCTTTCCTGAGTTAGTTCTCTGATGTACAGTAAAGTATCCCTTGCCGGAGAATGTTTTCCTACATTGTTTGGATTCATTTGGTTTCTTTCCTAAGTGAGTTTTCCAATATATAAAAAGTGCTGACTTGTGGTAGTTTTTTACATTGTTGACATACATAGTGCTTCTCTCCTGTGAGTTTTCTTATGTTAAAGGAGGTATCCTTTGCTGGAGAATGTTTCCCCACATCATTCGCATTCATCGGATTACTCTCCTGTATGAGTTCTCTGATGTGCAGTGAACTGTGACTTCCATGAGAAAGTTTTCCCATATTGTTCACATTCATAGGATTAATCTGCTGTATGATTTCTCTGATGCAAAGTCAGGTGTGATTTTCCGGAAAACATTTTCTTACATTGTTCACATTGATAAGGCTTGTCTCCTGTGAGACTTTTCTTATGTACCATGAAGCGTCCCTTGCTGGAGAATGCTTTACCACATCGTTTGCATTCTTAGGGTCTCTCTTGTGTGAGTTCTCCTATGCAGAGTGAAGTGTGAGGTGCAGGAGAACGTTTTCCTACACTTTTCACATTCACAGTTTCTCTCCTGTGAGAGTTCTCTTATGTGCAGTGAGGCTTCCTTTGCTAGAGAATGCTTTCCCACAGTGTTCACATTCATGTGGTTTCTCTCCTATGTGTATTCTCCTATGCAGAGTGAAGTCTGACTTGCAGGAGAACGTTTTCCTACAGTGTTCACATTCATAAGGTTTCTCTCCTATGTGACTTCTCCAGTGCTGAGTGAGAGCTGACTTATGGGAGAACATTTTCATACATTGTTCACATTCATAGGATTTCTCTCCTGTGTGAATTCTCATATGCATAGTGAGGTGTGACTTCCAGGAGAACATTTTCCTACATTGTTCACATTCATAGGGTTTCTCTCCTGTGTGAGTTCTCCTATGCCTAGTGAGATATGACTTCCGGGAGAACATTTTTCTACACTGCTCACATTTATGGGGTTTCTCTCCTGTGTGAATTCTCATATGCATAGTGAGGTGTGACTTCCAGGAGAACATTTTCCTACATTGTTCACATTCATATGTTTTCTCTCCTGTGTGTGTTCTCCTGTGAAGGGTCAACTGTGACCTACAAGAGAAAGTTTTCCTACATTTTTCACATTCATACAGTTTCTCTCCTGTGTGTGTTCTCCTGTGAAGGGTCAACTGTGACCTACAAGAGAAAGTTTTCCTACATTTTTCACATTCATACAGTTTCTCTCCTGTGTGTGTTCTCCTGTGAAGGGTCAACTGTGACCTACAAGAGAAAGTTTTCCTACATTTTTCACATTCATACAGTTTCTCTCCTGTGTGTGTTCTCCTGTGAAGGGTCAACTGTGACCTACAAGAGAAAGTTTTCCTACATTTTTCACATTCATACAGTTTCTCTCCTGTGTGACTCCTCTGATGTACAGTGAGGTCTGAATTCCGGGAAAATGGTTTCTTACATTGTTTACATTCATAGGATTTCTCTCCTGTATAAGTTTTCAGTTGGTCAGTAAAGGGTGTGTTCAGAGACAATAAATTCCTATATTGTTTTATCTATTCTTTTTCTCTACAATAAAAGTTATCTCATGTATAACAACAGTTGAAAGTGTTCATAATTAGTCCCCATTATAAGGTTTTATTTCTCTGTGATTTCTGAGGTATTCCATAATTTTGGGAACCAGCAATTAGCATAATGGCTATGTCGCTGGACTCCCACATAGTCGACCGCAGTTCACGTCCTGGACCCGGTGGCTTAAAGCCCATGCCGGGCACGTGTGCGTGCGTGCCCATGATCCCGAGGGGAGAATGGAGGAGAAGGGATTGCGGCGTGGCCATCCCCTCTGGGGGGGGTGACTTCTCGCTTTCTGTCTCTCTGTCTCCCTCTGTCTCTCTGGCGAGTGCATGCGCCCTATAGTGAAAAAAAAAACTCAAAAAAAATTAATTAAACAATAAAATAAAAAGGGCTTTTTGATGTTTATTATGTCTAATGGGTGTCTTCCTTGTCTGAATTCTCTGATAAAAAGCTAGATTTTACTTCTGCATTAAGGATTTCTCTTATTCATTACATGGATAGGAATCTTCCACTCTATGTGTAAAATGTACTGTAAAAATGAGTTTTAAAACAATTACTCACATTCTCTACATTTATAGTATGCATGTACTGTCTCTTCTGCACAATGAAACAGTTTGGCTTTTTATAAATGCTTTCTTCCACATCTGACCTATATACTGGGCAACAAGAACTGTTCTTACCACAGCCTTTCCCATATTCATTCCATTTACAAGTAGTCTCCCGCATATCAATCATCCTTTGTCAGAAAAAGACAACCATTTTCATAAATTATATCTATGAATTTCTTCTACACTGCTCATGTATATTTCTAATATTGTTACTGATCTATAATAAGAAATATATATATTTTTTAATTCTTAATAAATTATGGTAACAATTTACATTAATATTTTTAAAATATGAATTGTTTTATTTTGCTCCTTTATGTTTCCCTTTCCTTTAACACCTTTAAAAATATTCAAAATATCTACGATCTGTCTTGTAATTTTACGCTGAAACATTTTCATCTGTCATTTGTTTTCCCTGTTCTATTTTTTCTTATAACAGTGGGTACTGTGTAATGTTTCTTTGCTAATGAGAACAGTTTTCTAGATCATCTATTTGCAGAAGCCAAAAGTCTTGTCACTTAAGCAGAAATGCTACTTAGAAAGGATGTGTATATAATAAAAACACATACTAATCACCCTAAACATGTCTTCCCTTAGGACTATTTAAAAAATAATATACTCATTTTTTCATACTCTTATCCCAGTAAAACATTTCTACTTTTTTTAACCTTACCACTACTCACTTTTATTCCCTCTTAATAAAATACAAGCTGTTTAAAAGAATATGCGTTACACTGGTCCCTGACAAGTATGTATTGTCAAACCTGCAAGGCTCTGATTGAGTTGTTCTCCTAATGTCCATGGCTCTCCTTCTTGCTCCAACTTCAAGATGACTGCAGGTTTGGCAATGCAGTGTCCTGTTAATGAAAAGCAGTGTGTACTTTTTCCAAACCATTCATGTAAGCTATTTGAAGAATAACAACAACTCAGTTTTTTCAACTGTGCAATAAAGGGGCTGATTTGGGCATTTTTGTTAAAGAGTGCCAATCATATTAACCACAGAATGATATCTCACTTCTAAATATCAATAAACATTATAAAACTCTTGAACATTTACTACAAAAAGAGAAAGTAATTACTTTAGGGAGCTATGTGGGAGTTCCACTAACCCAAAAACACCAGGTTTCTGTAGGTCTCCAGCATCACATCCTTGTATAGAATCTTCTGAGCATCTTTGAGGCCCTGCCACTCCTCCCAGGTAAAGTCCATAGCAACATCCTCAAATGAAATGAACTCCTGTAAAAATACATTTAATTTTATCAGCCTTAGGAAACAGCATAATATGGAAAATTTACTTTCTCTGTATGTTTGTCTCTGTATGTCTGTGAACTCTTTGCAAAGGGAGAAAAAAATGAAGTAAAAACATTCTAGCTCTATGCTAACATATTCATCACTAAAAATATTACAAGTATTCCCTCATAGATCTCCAAATATTTTTCCTGCTAGGGATGAAAGCATAATAAATATTCTGTTATGTCAAGGTGCTTATTATCTCATACAAACATGTAAGTATTAAATACATATCTGGAGTAATGTGTTAGATTAACTAACTTTGACACAAGTTTATGGTAATGAGTCTAATAAAAACTAAAAAGTTTTTTTTTCTTTTTCTGTATTATCAAGTTGTGCTTTGAGTCAAAAACAGTAAGAACATCTAAGTAAATGTTCTTATGAAAACATACGTAAAGCAGTCTTCCCATGAAAACAGATAGTATATTCCTAATACTAATAAAAGTACAAAGAGTACATCTAGGTTAAGTATTCCTGGTCTGTGATAAAAGACAAAGGCAGTAAAGGTGTTTAAAGAACTGATTACAACGTGATTTTGTATTTAAATACTTAACCTAATTCCAATATTTCAAGTGCATACTGTTAATTAACCATAGGTGGAAGTATATCTATATACATATTTATATGACTGTTGTGCATTCATAAATACTGACAGTATCCACATAAAGATGAATATCACCTATTCACTAAAGCACAAAACATAAATAATAAGAGGCCAAAAGAAGTGACATATAATATAACCAGATTTGCAGTTTTAACAGCTATCCACAGATTGTAGTCTGAAGATAACTTTAAGAGATATAACAGGGTTAAAATCAAGTTGAGAAGTGACTACCTACATCAGGCAATAGAGAAATAAGAATACCAAATAGAAAATTCTTCCAAAAAAAAAAAAAGCAGAACAATATTGGTACTAATTTGTTTGGCATTGAAACCAAAGAGAAAGTTAACTGAACTCTTTCTGTTTAAGCAGGCATATAAATATGGGTGCTAAAAATTAAAAAATTGGAAAAACTTGAGCAGTAGACAGAGGAATCTTGGGTACATCATCTTTGATGTTTCAGTAGTCAAATATTTAGGAAGCAGCAGAAATTCAAGTGGTAACTGAAGCTATTCTAATCAATGAAAGTGGACCTAGGCCATATATGTGAGGTACTAGTCAATTGAAATAAAAAAAGATATTAAAAATATATGGGGACAGAGGGACTGGCAGGCAGTGGTTAAGGGGTTGGAATACCACATATGTCACCATGGCTCGAGTTCTGAAGCTGGACCTGGTATCTGGCTTTATGCAACCTCTCACCCACTGCTTTGTGAGAGTGTTTGCCCTATAGCAAATTAAATAATAATAACTAAAATTAAATAGAGAGAGAGAGAGAGAGGGTGAGAGAGAGTGAGCATACGCTAGGAGGTGCATGGAGGTTAAGGCAGCTAAAAAATGGACAGAATCAAAACAAAATAAAACAAAAAACAAACCACTAATATTTAAAGCTAAACAGAATCATATCATGAAAACCTAGGAAAAAACTGTTTAAAAATTTGCTCATGTGTTTGTTGAGGAGTGCAGATGGAAAATAAAAAATAACCCCCATTGGGGAATGTTCATGACACAATTTGCCCTCCACATTTCTTCCTTCTTTCAGGATTTAGGCTATGGATGTACATGTGCCTACTGTGGTTCTCAAGCTACTGGGTTGAGGAATCAAACCATGACATTGGCCATGTGGGATCTAGCTACCTTAACCTCCATTGCATGTGCTGCCCTAAATTTTTACCATTCTAGAAATTCTTAAAAAAAGATTCAATGCTAATATATTTTATAATATTCACAGTTCTACCAAATGAAATTCTGTGTTCCATTCACAGAGGATATATTTAGAAATACTGATTTATATTAAATGTCCTCAATAACAGATGATTTAGGATTTTGTTCTTTAACATAATATGCATATATCTTGGTGTAAACGACAGTATCACAGTTAATAGAGAAATATTGAAGGATACGAATGCTCTACCACAATAACTAAGCCATATATGTGAGGTACTAGGCAATTGAAATCAAAAAGAGATATTAAAAGATATATGGTGGCAGAGGGACTGGCATGTATTGTGGTGGTTAAGGGGCTGAAATACCACATATGTGACCATGGCTTGAGTTCTGGAGCTGGACCTGGTGGCTGACTTTATGCAACCTCTTACTGACTGCCTGGTGAGAGTGTGTGCCCTATAGCAAATTAAATAATAATAATAATAATAATAATAATAATAATAATAACTAAAATTAAACAGAGAGAGAGAGAGAGAAAGAAAGGGTAAGAGAGTGAGTGGGCACACTCTAGGCAGTGCAT